TATGTAAAATCTCAATTAAATATTCAATAAAGATAGAGGCATGGCCTCACTATTAATATTAAAAAAAAAAAAAAAAATTTAATACTGAAAACAAAAAGAAAATATTCAGAACTGACAAATAGTATATATATATATATATATATATATATTTTTTTTTTAAATATTAATGATGAGGCTATGCCTTTAACTTTATTGAAATTCAATTGAAGTTTTTATAAAAAAAAGCTTGCTTTCAAATTACATATGAAGAATAAAGACTCAGACATATAATCTGCGACCTAAACCTACAAGAGTGATCAAGGCTCATCTAGATTTGAGTATTAGTAATAATATATAATAGAGGAATATGATATTTAATTTATTGAATAGTTCAAAGATCAATTTTAGTGATAATTTTTGGTATTGAAATAGAAGATAATAGTAAATTAGAAAGAGAATTATGAATTAAGTTTGTAGAAGATGTAATAGAAGACTGAGCTGATTGTGAAATACAATATGAGATCCATATTTGTTTATAAATTTGTTGATTTAAAAGAAGAAGAAATTTAATAGAAAGTAAGGTAGCTGTATAATAAGAAATAGAAGTATTGTGAATAGTTGAAATAAGGTCAATAGGAACAAAGTCAGATAAAGTAGAAATAAGAGATGGTGTATGAGAAAAGTTGTGCAGTTTAAAACTGTTAAGTGTAAAAATTTCTTGATGTAAATTAAAGACAGAATTAGTAAACATGTCAAGAGCAGTAGCATTTAAGATACAGTTAAGAGAATTGGAGATTAAATGATAGATTGTTTGAGTTGAAAGACAGAAAGTCCAGTGTAATGAAGAACTAGTTTGATTGCATTGATGGCAGAAAGAAGAGTAAGAAGGGTTGCATTTGTGAAGAATATGAGGAACAGGTAATTCATCTAAGAGAATTTTAATATGAAAGGTTTTTAAAGTGGAGAAATAGAAGCTATATGCAAAGTTAGAAACTTTTTGATTATTATTAATGTAAAGCCAGGTGGCTTTCTAGTTAATATTGGGTGCAATAGTAAACCATTGTTGAAAACAATGTTGAGATGTCCAAAGTATTATAATATGAGCTTGACAAATAGTACATATAAAGTGTCAGATAGGAATCTTAATAGAAAATTGGTTAATAAATAAAGTATATGCATGGTTGTAAGGGTTGTTACTTAGAAATATTAGGAAGGGTAATATTTGGTAACTGTAAGCAAGCTGGTCAGCAAGATTATTAAATGAATCATCTTGATGTGCAGTAACTTTGTAAAAAGTAAACTGAATATTATATGAATTAATGAAGTTAATAAAAGTTTGCTAAATAGAAAAGTATAAGGTATAAGTATGAGAAAGTTTAGAAGCTGATGAGCAAATACTGTGATATTTGGAGATTATAGATTGTAAGTTAGTATAAATATAAACTGAACAGTTTCTAGAAGCAGTAATGATTGCTGTAAGAATAGCAAGAATTTTAGCTTTAAAAGAGCATAGCCAAAGTTTAATTTGTGTCTGAAATGAATAAGTAGTTGTAGAGTTATCTACTTGGACCCAACCTATGCCCATAGAGCATTAAGAGGTACCAAGCTCAATAACTGAACCATCAGTATAAAATAAGATAGTAGTTAGGTTATAGTTGAAATTAGCAATAGACTGAAGGCTGTCAGTAAGTTGGCCTGACTGAAAGATGTTAGGTAATTGTTGTGAGTTGATTGTTAATAAAGAAGGTGATGGAATATATAAGGGATATCGAATAGCTACAGAGTATGCAATATCAAGAAAATTGGCATGTAGGTTAAGAGTTTTGTCAGAATTAATACGACAGAGTAATTTTGTAGCCAAATTTGTAGAAATTATATATATTTTTTTTGACAATTATAATTTAAAATTTATTATAAGTTTTTTTATTTTTTAAATCCCTCCAAGAGATACTGGACAGTATACTTTTTATAATAATATTTTATAATTTCTAATTAGACTAAAAAGTCACAAAATACTTAATATAACTAATAGTACTTTATTAAGTTTGTAGTCTTAAAAATATTACATAATATATTATTATTATTTTTCTGTTTATTAATTATAAATCAGATACATATATTAACTTTAATTATTTATTAGATGAAATTCTTGACTAGATGCTTTTACTTTAAATGAAATTATATTGTTAAAGAGGTTTTGGATTCATAAAATACAAAGTCAAGAAAAATATGATAAATTGTTGCTTGAAAATACCAAACATCATAAAACATTGCACCACAGAAGAGACTGAATAATTTGGCAAGACTAAGGTGTAAGTGCAAGATTTCAGTTTATTACTAAAATGGTTTTTATTACTAATATGGCTATTACTAATAATGACTATTTTAAAATTGCTTTCTTCTCTTCTAACTCAAAAAAAGATGCTCTTATATACAGAAATGGCATCCTATAAAAAGAGATGACACAGGGGCCCAAGATCAAACATTTTCTTACCAAACTTAATGGTTTCAGATCTGTCATTATGATTAGGACCTTAAATAGCCTTATGTAGCACAAACAACTAGCCTAATCTAGCAGATCTACCTAACAAATGTCTATAGTATTTGATTCTGCATTATTATAGCATTGTTTCAGTTGGATGGCTTGGCTTCCAAGTTTCTCAAAATGCAATCAATGCACAATTGTTTGCTTGTTTCAGAGGCATTCTTACTGTAAAGGGGCATGGGTCAGGGTGGCACTGATTTAGAGCAACTCTAATACCTGTTTTGCCTTTAACAATATTAAATTGATTAAACCTTGATTTTTAAGTTCCTGAAGCCTTCTAATAATAAATAATAACCTATATTTTAAATAAGCAAATATGTACATATGTTGTAAAATTCTTGTGTTAGAAATCTTGCAGAGTTAATATATAATATCTACTATGCTATAATACAAACTAGATAACTATAAGTATAATACTATAACTATAGTGTTTAATTCTAATATTAATGAGGCTATAATTAAGATATAAAAAGAGTTGGTCCAAGTAACTAGGATTAAGATATTAATAATGATAGTGTTAACTTTAAGATAAGTATTCTTTAATTTTGTAGTATAGCTGATTTAGCACTTTACTTGGCTTCTTTTATTAGGATTATTATAACTAAATTTGGTTTATAATATTACATGATCACAGAATATGATTCAAGCAATTATGTGAATATTGATTTTTAACTTTAAAAGTTAATCACAAATTTAATCAGTTTCATAATTAGTATATAAAGGGCCTAATTACTAACTTATATTTTTTCTCTTTCTTATTGAATGCAAAAATAGAGTATAAGAGAATCATGAGGTCAAGGTTTTTGCAATAAGCAATTTTTACAACTTATAAAAAATGTATTCAATAACTATTTAAATGCTTCAACTCTAATTTCAAAGGTTTAGAATACCAGAAGTTATGTTTATCAAATTAAACTACACTAAGTTGTTCTTTTATTATAAGAAATCTTTATGACATATATATTTTCTTTACATATATAACATAATACTAATTATACTTGCTATACTAATTATAATATCTATTACTAATTTTTTTAAGATATGAGTATTCTTATAATTGACATAATATCTATTCTAAGAATTTCAATGAACCTTCTAATACTACGTATTTCTGAAATTATTAGAATTATACCACATTAGGATCTGTAGTAATTTCAAAAGGCAATTTATATGTTTACAATATATATACAATATATAGTCTAAATATGCAAAATTTAACATTAAAATTAACAAGAATAATCATTAAGTCTAGTTTAAGTATATATATACATATATAATATATATATATGTCTAAATCAGACTAAAATAACATATAATAAACAATAGATATTACTGCATTAAACTGTTAGATCATCTTTAACAATAAATATATATATCAAAAAAAAACCTTCGCAATTGATCTGCAGTTTATCTTTTATAAAATACACTTATTAAATTAACTATTAGATCAACTATTAGATATTAACAATTAGATCTTAACAATTATATGTATTATATAATATCTTTTATATTAACTGTTAGATCTTAACTATTAGATCTTAACTATTAGATCTTAATTATTAGATCTTAATAGTAAACTAACCTTTTCAAACATCCTCAACTCTATTATTGATATAAAGAAATTTTTTTTTTAAAAAATATACTAATTTATCTAATTTTAATATATTACTTCAAAACTACTTGTTTAAATACTCTGACAATACAATTCAAAACCTATTACCTACTCTTTTTCATCTCAAAAATAAACTTTATCTTACCAAAACTGCTCTTAATTAACATTAAAATTAAATTACTTATAATAAAATTAAAAAAAAATTAAGAATCAAAACAAACTTTTCTCTGAAACTTCTAAACTTTTTTACAAAAAGATTCTTAAAACACATAACAACATACATATTAATAGACTATTAATAAGTAACTTACTCTTAACTGAATATTTAATAGTTATTGGATGCGAAGCATCCAATAACTGTAACATTCAGCACATTGATATTGATTAAGTAGTAATCAGCTGATCACTATTTAATTAGTGTCAGGTGACAAATATGAAGACATATCTGGCCCAGAAATCTGGGTCAGATACAGAAGTTATTGGTATGTAGCAGCCAATAACAGTTTTATCCAGTAAATGACGATGATCAGACAACTTATCATTCATATAATTATAATTTAAACCTTTTTGTTTTTTTTTTATTTTTATGAAGCAAAAATGTCAAAAGCTAAGGTTCGAATACAGAATTTATTATTATTATTTTTTTTAAAAAAAACAATAATTATAAGAAAATTTTTATAGTTGGATGCTGTATATTATAAACCATCTCAAAAAGAAATTCTTGCAACAAGAACTGATGCTATTCTAGTAAATACTAGAAAGGCCATCGACAAGTGGGTTCAAATTTTAAAAAATTGGTGTCAAACAGTTGGTTATAATTATGGAATTAAAGAAATCAATAGCAAAGACCAATTAGAAATAAAGATGATAGAATTTATATTAGAAATATGATAAGTTAAAAATTCAGCCGAATATGCCCCTTCTTTTCTTATTAATTGTATAAACTTATTAAGTTTATATCTTCTTAATCACTCTGATGGAAATTGTCAATTTACTTTATCAAATAAGAAGGAATTTAGATTATTATGATCTACATTAAATGGAAATTTAAAAAAATTAAAAAAATCTGAAAATATTGTTAAGCATTATGACAATTTAACAGATGAAAAAGTACAACAAATATTTTAACATAAGATGATTTCTATTAATGATCCTCAAGGTTTATAATATCACATTTTTATGTGGTGTTGTTTATTGTTTCAGCCTAGAGGCAGTGAACACTATTCAATTAAAATATCTTAGTTTGTTTTTACTGCGGATGGAGGGTTACGATTTACTAAATATTCCCAAAAGAACGATCAAGGAGGTATTGAAAGTGATAATACAGGTTTAATAATTTCTGTACTACCTGATCCTACAGATTTTCAAGGCCCTATTCATGATTTGAAGCTTTATATTTCTAAACATTCTGAAAATTATCAAACTCCTTATTTACATCATCGAATTAACAATAAATTTGCATGTAAGTATTTTAAATTATGCATTTATATTAAATTATAATTGTGCTTATATTGTTAATTTGATTAGATGATTCAGAAGAACCTTGGTATTGTGATACCTGACTTGGTGAAAAATTATGTCAATCATTTATAAAAAATGTCTGCAATATAGTTGGTATTGACACCAAAAACCGTAGTATTATTAACCATTCTGGGAGATCAATTTCAATTACCACTTTATTTAGACAAGGGGTTCCTATAGTAACAATGATGGCAATTACAGGCCATTAAAGTGAGTCCTCTTATCGGGTTTATGCAAGACCTTCCAGAAAAGATAAGGAAGATTCATTATTAAGCTTGATCAATAATATTGAGCTACCCTTAAAACAAGTTGATGTAAGTATTATATCATACTGCACCTTAATTTTATATAAAAAGGTTTATTAAAAAATTTAAAATTTTATAAAACCAGAACCATATTGAAAACATAACTGCTACTCAAAATAATATGCAAGATAATCAAGCTAAACTTTTAGAATCAATGGTATAGATTTATGAATAAAGTGTTAATTTTTTAAAATAATATTTATATGATTTTTTTTTATTTTAGACTAATTTGAATTTGGCATCAAAATTGGCTAATAAAGTATTAAATGAATTGACCAAAAAATGGAAATCTGTAATGAAGCCTTTTCGTACACCACTAAAAAGTCTCTCTCAATCATCCGAACAGCAAAATTTCCAATTATCTGAACAGCAAGAATCATATGAACGTAGTTATCAAACTTCAGAAGATAGAATAGATAGAAATATGATTGTAAAAAATTATTATATTATTGCAGATAATGTTACAATCAATTAACATATTTAAATAGATAGTATTGATATATAGTTTTAAATATGTAAAAAATTACATTTTTAAATATAATAAATATTTGCTTTTATTAAAATTTTAATTTGCCAAATAATAAAAACTGCTGAATAATAACAATTGCCAAATAATAAATTTATTTAGCAGTCTGATCATAGTCATCTATCGGATAAAATGAAATATTCAATACAATTCATATGCATTTTACTACATAATTTGAATCCAAACCTTTGAAAACTATTTCAGCAACTAGTAAATATTCAGATCTGTATAAACCATATCTTGAACTCAAAAGTTACTACTAAAACCTTACTCAAGAAATCATACAACAAGAATAGCAAAAGATTATCTCTAATTTCCCAAATCAAAAAGCTGCCAGTCTCTCTAAAATCTGCTATGAATATATTAAATATGCAAGCTTCAAAGCACAAACTTTTTTAGACTCTTTCTCAACAAATGTTCTCAACTTCAAAAAGTTCCTACAGAATAGAAATCTTTTAATATCTTTCTTATTTCAAAAAAATCAAACTGAACTATACTCTTACTCAAGTAGAACCTATATTCATTATCAAACCCTTTAAGAAAACTTTTACAAAAATTTTCATATCCAGACTAGACAAGATTATTACTTTCAATAACTTTTTCTCTAATCTTAACTTTGCAGCTTTCAAAAACTCTTTTACTTATATTTTAATTCAAATTCTACATAATGCAATTAAATATTACAAAGCTAATAATAAAGAAGCTTAAATATTATTTTAAGATATGTCTAAAGCCTTTGATAAAATTAATATTACAAGACTACAAGATGCCTGCAAACAAATTAGCATTCCAACTTCTGGTATAAACCTTATTACAGAATTACATACCTCTTGGCTTGCCAAAATTATTACTGGTTATAGCTTTACACAACTAGTTCAAGTTAAATCTGAAATAGAGCAAAAAGTAACTTATTCATCTTTATTCTGAAAAATCTACTATGACCTTATTCTTTTCTTTATTAATCAAAAATATAAAAATCAATTCCTCAAAATATCTGCACAATTACCTTTTGATATTATTTCTAATAGTCCTAATCAAACCATTATCATTTCACTATTAGCCTATATAAATGATACTACTTGGCATTGTAAAGACCTATTCACAATGCAAAATATATTCAATAATACATCTACTTTTTACAAACTTAACAATATTGAAATAAATCTCTTTAAATCTGATCTTCTATATATTAAACTCAAATTATTTACCTCTTCTTTAACTATTCTTACTGTTAATAACCAAACTATTTTTTCTAGAAAACCTCAAGATATTATTCAATATTTAGGCATATTTTATAATAGAAATAGCTCTTCAAAACCAACTCTTGATACCATCCTTAACAAAATTAAAAACTTCCTTAATCTTATTAAATCCAAAAAAATTAAATTATTACAAATTTCAGCTCTTTTCAATCTTATTCTTCAACCCTTTCTGGAATATTTACTACAAATAACTCCAATTTACCAAAATACTCAAACTAAACTCTCTTGTATAATTACTATCCAATCCAAAAAAATGCTAGCACTAGCAAAAAAATATTAACAATATTATTCTTACTAATTCACTATTCTTTAACCTACCAACTCTCAAAAATATTTTACAAAAATTAAGTGCTTCTAACATTGAATGTATTTTTAACTCTACACCTTTACTTAATACTATTGGTACTCTGTGAACTAAGGTCTGGCTGCTTAAAATCTGGCAACCTAAACTCAAAATAGATATACTTAATACTCACTATCACAAAACACAAAACTTTACACTAATTTTTCATATTTGCCAACTTGCAAAACACAATATCTCACTATTAAACTTTTTATTATTATTAGAAATCTTTACTAATTACAAAACAATATATGATGTATTTCTTTCAAAATTATCCAACCTAACTATTCAAAGCTTAAAAAACAACAAAATTCTGTTTCTTGAACAAATTACAACAGCAAACAACTTACATTTTCTTTCATGAAATAATATATATCTGCAAACAAACAAACCTACACAAGGCTGTTAACCAACATGGTTCATACAAATCTTCTCTTCTAAGCAAAATTACAATATCACTACAACAGGGTATGGTGACCTAGTGAAGTGGTCAGGTTTTCAACTCTCCAAGTGGTAGGTTGGGTGTTCAAATCCCATCGACAGTGAAAATTTGGATAATCACCTATGTAATATTC